CAGTAAAGAAACAAGTCTGTTTCACTTATGACTTGAAAAAGTAGTAAAAGTTACTAATGTCATCTCTTCAGTAGACATTTTTAAATATTCTTTGTGATAAAACTGGAAATATATGTAAAGCGTATTTATTGCATATCAGGATAAAATGGCTTTCTTGCAGGAAAGAATTTGTATGATTAGTTAAATTGTGAGGTAACCTCCCTTCTTCACGAAATCCTGAGTTTAGTTGAAAGCAAAACTGATACACAAAGGATGGGTGGTCAGAGTTGGGTATCTGGCAGACATTTTCTTAGATATTAGCCATGCGAATCTGTCACTTCCAAGAGAGCAACAAATTTACCTTGTAGTTCTAAGTTTAAACTTTTAAGTAGACATTAAAAGTTTGGAAAAATTGTACCTGTATTATCAGTTTGATACCTTATCAAAACTCAAAAATTTCTTTTCTGAGATCAGAGGTTATATTAATAATTGTGACTTTTTTGATACTGTACAAGGAACCGTGTCAACATTTGAAATATCTGCATGATTCGGTGAGTCTCTATTTTCCAAGTGACCAGTTTATGATGCTACAAAATCCATTCAAACTACAAGTAACAGAGCATGGAGAACAAATTCACGTTTCAACTGGTCTTAAAGGATCTTCTTGGTTAGTTTTGGTACAGGATCAAAGAATAACACTTACAATAACCAGAATAGGCCACTGAAACATTCCTTCCTTTTCCAATAACATCTCTTTGTGAGGCAGGATTTATTTTTAAGAAATTTCTACCAAAACTGCATATTGCAACAGATTGAATTCTTAAAGAGATGTAAGAACCAAATTTGCTTCCACTTCGACAGATATTTTGGATGTACAAAAAATGTAAAATCATGTCAGTCTTCACTATTATTTTTGTTTAGAAAAGTTATTTTAATAAAAATATCTAACTTATGTTAACATGCATTTGATTCTTCAATTGTTATTTTAAAGTGATTTGATATAGATTTAAAACTTTCCTCCCAGTTTTCATTTCTAATACAATAAATACTGATAGGTAAAATTCCAATAATCAAGGTCCCTTTGGTGCTGCACTAATTTCTTAAGAATATGAAAAGGTCATGATATCAAACAAGAACCGTAAGAACCATGGCCTTGAGAAGAGAAATTCTCAGTACTTTCTAAATTTTTGTCTGTCCCTCCAGCATCATATAGGTTGGGGCTAACACAATGCAGAGAACATTCACATAAAGTATGGAAACAGGGGTACTATTTCAAGGTTAGTACAATATTTAGAAAGAAAATAGTTAAAAAAATAAGCACTGCCAATTACAGTGTGTGTTTTTTTTTAAAAGATCTTTCTCTACAAGTCATTTCTATTAACCATGCCTTGCATAGATGTTTATAACAAAACATTAAAGAGTGGGTAGAAAGTAGAAAACAAATTACTCTGCAGAGAACTCAGCCACTCTGTTAAAATACTGTCAGTTATTTATTTACTGTCAGCAGAGGTTGCTCTCTATAATCTCTGACAAGCTGAGATTCAGAAAGACTGAAGACAGGGGCAAACCTTGCGTTTAAAGGCCTATTCTCATACACAGACATTTTAACACAGATTTAAAGCCAGAATGAATCTCCTAGAAAATGTCACTTTTGATTTTGATACATCTCCTAGCAAGTAGGCTCTACATTTGGTTGACTTAGTACAAGATATGTGAGAGGCTAATGCTATATTTTAAACAATTCATGATCCCAGCACGGAATGAACACAATGAGGTCAGCATCACTTCATTTTGAGAGTTGACTACCACAATAGCATGATTTCATGGGCATATTTTTTATGATAAGGAGAAGGGCTTTATTTTTGTTTTGTTAGGAAAGGTAATGACAGGGTCTAAGAACCCTCCAGTCCTCTCCAGTGTCCAGATCTCCTTTATGTTTACAGGGGCAGCAGCTCTCAATACACTTTCCTCTCCTGAAATACCTTCTCTCCGAGAAACACATGTGGACACAGCACAAATGCAACAGCCTGAAAAGCTTCCCGCAGGGTACTCCAAAGAAAAGCACCTCTGGGCTGGTAGTTAGAGTAACTCAAGGTAATGCAAAGGACACGTAAAGGGTACAGGTGGAAGAGGCGCAAACTAAGAGAGCCGCACGCGAAACACAATCTTGGTCATTTCCTTCAGAATGCAATCTGTATCGACTGGTCAATGATACGATTTCCACCCATATGATTAGGGTTCTAAATAAATGTGTGCTTGTAGCTGGGATGTTTGATGAATGCTGAACCAGAATCTTAATTTTCTAATTCATATTCACCAATTAAAAATAGACTGTATTTTTATGAGCAAATTTACATAAATCAGATGATAAAGCATCTACTACTAAGGGGTAGGAGTTCAGCTCACAACATTTGCATATATTCTCCTAAAGAAAACATAGGCGTTTTAGATTTTCATTGGAGAGTCTTGCTGTGCTGGAACTCTAATGGGCTTAGAACAGTAAATTTTGAAGAAACTGATTGCTGCCCCTGTAGCTAGTAAATGTCTGCCTAGACCCAGTGGCATTTGAAAAAAGTGTTTTATCATAAAATTATCCCAGCAGAGTCCATTCCGCAAGATAACATCATCATCATCATCATCAGTACTCCATGCAGGACCCAACAGCTCTGGCACAATATTGCCAGTCATTTATCTGTTGTCAGCACAGGTTACACACTGTAATCCTTGACTGCCTCGGAATTAGAATGTCTTTGATGTCCCCACAAGAGTTTTTTGCCCGAAGGCTTTACCAATGCTCGGCGGCTCAGTGTTTATTCCTCGTAATCTTCCTCTCATCTCCAGGCTAGCAGTGACAGATGGTTATGGGCACACAATAGTATTAAGAGTTTGATATTTTTTTTATGCTGTGCTCTCTGTACAACAAATAGCTATCAGACGCGGGCCAGAGAGCTGACATGGCTCGCTTAGGTAATGGCAAACAAACAGCTCGAGTTGATGCTTTCTGTCATTTCCCCTCCTAACCCTGCTTGTTTTCATTGTATACTCTCAAAGGTAAACTATATTAACCTTATAGACTGTTATTAAAAAGATATATCTATATGAGCATAAAGTGCTTTTCTTTTCTCTTTTTCTTACTCTTTTGATTATGAAAGTAATACTGCTGACATATTGAACAAATATCGAATGTCAACATAAATTTTTAGTGTGTGATAATCTCCCCCTTCATATAGCTGTGTGTCAGGCGGGAACCCGGGGATGATGCATAGCAGTAAATAACCCAAACAAAATTAGTTCTCTTGTCAGCTTCTACCTTGTATGTCCCCAGGCATCAGTAAAATTGACTGCACGCTAGATTTTCAAAATTAGCCCTAATGTTAGCTGTGTGTCTGGCAGCCTCCAAGTTTCCAATGTTCTACTATATTACCCGTAAGGATGAATGTGTTACTTTTATATTTTGGCATTTACTCTTGCTGATGTGGCTTTTTTCCCTCTTCTCCAAATTAAAAATAATTTAGCTTTAACAATAAGAATGTGCACAAACAGAATGCTGCATCTCTTTAAGCAACTAACTTTAGGCAATTAAATTAAAGCAAAAATACAAAAAGGAAGAGAGGGAATTATTCAATTTAATATTGTTAATGTTATTAGCACAGCTCTGTCTTGTTTTGTGCAAAGTACCGAGTGACATGGCTCTCACTGCTTCCTCCATAGCAGTGCTTAGCAACGGCAGTCTGTAAATTATTTCACATTTTTATGATAAATCAGAACCAAACTTTTTAGAACTGATTTTCTTGCACGAATTATTAGTTCAGAGACAACCAAAATTAGCAGAATAAAAGAGAAAACTTCGGAAGGGAGTAAATGAGGACATGTATTTTACCTTCAAACAGGTTGATCTTATCCAGACCTGCTATATTTTAAAATAATGGAAAAGATACGGAATACTGTCACGTTCTAGGTAAAATATGATTTACAAATAAATGCTACTCCCTTAGAAGGATATGCTGGAAGGATGACGATGAACAAACAAATCCAAAACACATTCCACAACTTTCAATCCCTAAATTTTATGTTCATATATTTAGAATCAAAGATAAAAATCCCTTTAGGTACCAGATGCTGCAGATCAGCTGGGAGGACTCTGGAGTTTAATGTGCTGGAAGTCAAATCCTCAGCAAAGGCGCTTTGCCCGGCCGGTGTGCTGTGCTTATTACTTTACCTGCAAACAGTTGCTCTCAGAAAATCTGACCTAATGATAAGCCCAGGATCTCTGCAATAAAAAGACCATAATCTGCGGGGGAAGTGAACTCTAATCAGGCCACATGCAGATTAAATGAACTGGGAGGAATAAAAACTAGATTAAAATGTCCATGCCTAACGTCAGAAGATTATCAGGACATTTTACCTTTTTAAATCCTAATTTATCGGAACCAGGGTCAAGTTTACAAGTTTATGTTTGGCGGGATTATACACTGCAGTTGATTTTTCTCTGTTTAGAAAGATTCGGCTAGATGGTATTTTGCTTAGCACAATACAGACATTTGGGAGAAGGGAAATGGATTCACATGTACTGATACGTATTATGACAAGTAAGACAAAGCCACCTAGTTGACACTGATCAAAGCAATAGCAAGTAATAGAAATTGTTCTTGTTTTAATGGTGATACTGCTTTATCAGTGTGTGTATGTAAAATTGTTTTGTGGTTACGTGAATGTGTGTGTGTATCTAAAATCGCATTTTTATATGCTGAAACTGTCTTAAATAAGATTTGAATTCCTGAAAGTGTCTGGCTACTATTGTTAGTTAAACAAATCAGTGCAAATAGTTATTATCTTAATTCAAATTCTAAACACAGAATAATTAACCTACAGATACTTGAGTATTATCATCTTTCACTATATTAGTACTACTACATTAAAGTGATCTTTTTCTAAAGCTATAAGGACAACAAGTCAATAAGTCAGTCATCGGAATATATTTTCTATTCCCAGTTCTTTCTCAGTTGTATGTCTTGACTTACCACCTGTGAGGCCAGACAATGTGCAACGGTCTTTGCTGATCATCGACTCCACCCAAACTGTCAAAGGAATTAAGAGGCAGATGTTGTGCAATTTCTCCACGATGAGATCTTGAATTATCTGACGAGTTTGCATGTTCCAAGTCTGCCCCTTGCACTGATGAGTTCTCCAGGTTTTCCTGCGCAATGTGAAGATTGGAATGTACACTGTACACTACATTAAAATCCTCCGATACATTCTCGGGAGTTCTCTGCTCCGGTTGCGAAGGAAGGGCCATGGATAGAGCAGCACTGCCATTTCCTTTCAGGCTGAGCATCTTCTTTAAATGGGTTATTTTGTGCTTGGGCATGAATCTGTTACAAAAAGGGAATGCAATACGCTTTTAGTGAAAAAACTTTAAAATAACACTTACCTTTCTATAAGGACATGATCACTGTGGATAAAGCTGAGAAAAAAAAAATAAAGATATCCTAACAAAAAATGTAGAAAAGGCTCAATGGGAATTAGCCACTGAGGGATTGTTCAAAGGTTTCAAATTAGACAAGACTGTCTTGAACCGTTTCCAAGGAGTTTCTGTGGACATAAAACCTGCACTGCACATACAATTCAACATGAGACTACTGAGATAATTTGTCATTCTTCTCTCACTCATCCTTCTGCATTTTCATTTTATATTTTCTAGTTACCCCATGGTTCAGTTTCTGTTTTTAAGCCACATATTCATTATCCTATAAAAATGTTTGATATTTCCTAGGCTACCTCCTACCACTTCTCACATGACTGTTTTGCCTTCCTGGACACCTGCGCAGAGTTCTGGTAAAAATGATCTGGCTAGTGCTTTTTCTGAAATATATTTTAATAACCATTTCATTATAATTTCTCCCCTACCTCCCATCATGCTTTGTTATGGGGCAATATCAGTGCTTTGATGTGTGTTCAGTATCTGCTACTTATTGATAGCTGTCCAGCATCCATTACTTATTGATGGAGAATACAAATAAAATCTTTAAAAATTTAAATGCAGCTTACAACCTACTAGCTATACATGCAAACACAGGGTCTCTCAAAGAGCTCTCTGTTGGGGAGAAAACCAAGAGTGCTTAGAACAGAGTGGAAGAGAGATGTGTGAATAGCTAACTCACCTATGCTGGAACACACTGCACCTAAAATATGGACATTCTAACTTTTCCAACTCAAGTGAAGAAGAAAGTAATCCAACCCAGGGGATCAGTAAAGTCTTGAAAGAGTTTAACGCAGGGACTTTGCCAGTTGGGGAAGGTCTGGATGGAAAGAAGAGTGTGATCACAGGAGAGGGGTACTCAGGAACAGGGACTCTTCTGGGAATCACGTGTAACCAAACAGGCTGGTATGTAAATCTGGAGGGGCGAACTGGCTCACAAGCCCTAGTGCTCTCTTGGAGTTTCCTTTTTATTTTGAAGACAAAAGAATGAAAACATATTAACAAACACACATACACTTACAAAATAACACAAAAACAATACAAGCAATAGAGAATTTCAGACAAGGGGACAGGAAATTAACAATGGTTATTGTACTATATTGATATCTTCAAATTGGTTGCTCAGGTAAACAAATATAGACATGTAAGATTGGTCAACAATTAAAAATTAGCTGTTCCTTTCAATAAAGCAATAGAAGTCAGTATTTTTTTTTTCCTCTTGGAGTTTCTGAGGCTCATTCAGGGATTTTTGCCTTTTTCTGAATTGCTGAGTAAGTGAGAAATGGAGAAGGCATGCATTTGGGGCCACCCAAGTAGGAGAAACCTTGAAGGGGAGCAGTAGGTAACACATGGAAGAGGAGAAAGATGATTTGAGGGAATAAGGGAAATGCTTACAGGAATGAATCAAGAGCCCTCAAGAATGTAAAAATATAAACCCTGCAGGGCGCTGCAGCAATAGCCCGGCCCCAGGCCACCACTGGCTTCTCCTACGGAGTCCCACAAGTCCCTGTGTGGTGGCACAGGCAGAAACCTTGCAGAAGGTTTGGGTGCACGCACGAAAGAAAGAAAGGGAGAAAGAAGGAAGAAGGTTGGGTAAGTAGGGTTGAATTTTGCGAACCGGGACGTGAAGACATAGGCATAGTCACTTGGGGACATTTGCTGAAAAAGGAAACCGAACCCTACCAAAAAGTCTTGAAAAAGGGCAGTGGGAAGAGGAGCAACATCTGTTACTAAAGGCAGGACTCGTGGTAAGTGAGTGTGTGGAGGTGGGAGTCCAGTAAAAGGGAAAATCTACTTTTGCCGTAAAGCTGAAGTGAGGAGGGCGAATGAAGCTGGAGAAAGATTTGGGGGGCAGGCACAGCGTCTAAGGAGCCGTGTCACTAAAGCATTAGCGCAGACCCCTATGTCAGGTGAAGGAGCAGAAGGGGACACAGGGTTGTGGAAGTCAGGGTCGGGGCCGGAGTCACTGTGCTCACAGGCAGGCACGCAAACGAGGGCTGAGAAGCCACCCCAGCAAACAGCCTAGCCCGCGTGAGCTGGCCGCGAGGACTCCGGCTGTGCGCAGGGTGCCCCGCACGCTCCGGGATCTGAAAGCTTGCACTGGGAGCATCTACGTTTGTCTCAAAAAGCCCTTTAAATGTCTATTCTGATTTTAAATAGGAGAAAAATCAACTGAATGTATGAACCCACTAAGCAATAAAGAGATGACTGCATGCAGATAGATAAAATACCAAGAATGGCATTAGCTCCTTAAATATGATGTAATAAATTAATAAATTAGTCATTGATTTAAAATGGGAAGAAGTATGATTATTTACAGATTGTATCTGCAGATCTCATGGGTCTAAAATTATTAAGGGGACAAATGAGCTTTCTTCCTAAAACAAACTGAAAATACTGGAGGATTCTAAGGAGCTAAAAAAACATGTTTTACACAGCCCTATACTCCTATTTTGGAGGCTGTGGTAGGAGGGTCAAAACTTCAAGCCTCTCCTCGGTAATGTGGCAAGATTCTTTCTCAGCATAAAAAAAGCTGGTCTTACTGGTGCATGCCCGAAACTCCAACACTGGGGAGGCTGAGGCAGGAGGCCTGGACCAAGTTCAAGGCCAGCCTAGGCTACATAGAGAGTTCTGCGACAGCCTGGGCTGTATAATGAGACCCTGTCTCAAGAAAAAAAACTTTTAAATTTTAATTTATCACCACAATAGGTAAAAAAGACAATGACTATGTCAATATCTTCAGCTTCTCCCACACAGAACAAATGGTAAGAGAAGGAACATCTGTACATATCTGGAAAACAACAATGAAGCAAACAAACAACCCATTTGTTAATGTCAGATAAAGAATGCCAGGCAAGCTTAGAAAGGATTTTAACAGAATTACACTTAGTGCAAAAAGGATTCACAATGAAAAAAATCAAGGGCCACTGAAACAACATATCTTCATTTTAGAAAACAATCTCATGACCCATCTTACTCATAAAATCCATTAATATTGGCCAGCATGTGAGCAAAACTACAAATTAAAAGAGACGGGAGATTGGCTAAAAGGTTGTAAACAATGGAAATTGGTAACTGACAAGGAATTTAGCTCTGGGCAAGGTGCTAGGTCTGCTTTTATTCAACACATTTCTTAAATGTTCTCAAAGAAGACTCAATTCCCGTGTTAACACAGGCTGTGGATGACTGACTTGATAGCTGGTGGTGAATAAGTATATGGAAAAATTCAGAACATAAACAGGACATGAACAAAAAAAAGCTTACAAATCCCACAAAATTGAAGAAAAAAATTCAGAATAAACCTTGTATGCAAGTTGGAAACAGACAAAAATCACCCCAAGTTTGACAAGATGAACAAGTGCTGATTGGACCCAGCAAGCTGATGTCACTTAGTTTGGAATCTGATTGTCAAGGAAGGGCAGAAAATAGGTCTGTAGAGTGGAACACTGTGTGAATGCTGATTTCATCAGGGGCACCCTAGAACTGTATATGTTTGAAAATTAGAGAGTTCTTAAAAGAGCTATAATAATGATTAAGGCAATGGAAGAATTGATTTATGAGGACAGATTAAAGGAGCTAAATATGAATAGCCTAGTGAAATGACAACTAGAGGGGTACATAATAGGAGTCTCCAAGGAAGAAGAATAATTATTTAGCGTGGTACAAGGGGGTATAACTAGGAGTAATGAGATGAAATTAAGAATGGGGAGATTTAAGCTGAATTTCAAGAAAAACTCCCTGACAGTGTAATTTATTAGCTCATGGAATACATTCCCCATGGAAATGTGACAGCGAGGAAAACTTAATAACAGAACTGGACAAAATACCAATAAATAATATAGATAACAATTGACTGTTTGAAAGAAGGTGGTTATAAGCTATGTTTCCCTTGTTTACAATATCCTTTCACATTTTTAATAGTCTATTCATGATAGGGATTGCCACCAAAAGAAGTATTTAGGTAATTAGCTGAATCTAACGGGATACCTCCTTTAGTGAGGGAGGGGTGCCCTAAAACACTTTGATTTTCACATACTCTGCAGCAACAACAAAGGCAGAAATGAAATAATTTCTTTCTATTTTGTTTCAGTGGAGCTGGTCTTTATTTCTAAAAAACAAAACAAAACAAAACAAACCTCATCCACCATCCTACACAGAGCCTATTCTGATTCTCCGTGCCATGAAACTCACATTTTCATAGACATGTTTAATATAAACAATTTATTGCCATAATAGAAATTTAAAAAAAAGTTTATTTCAGCTTTTCTAAATGTAGCTGTATGGTCAATTACTTCACATCAATACCAAGATCAAATAGGCATAATACTAACAAGCAGTTTGCTTAATAATAGTCACCACACTAATTAACCCATCCAGAACATTCCTAATCAGACACTATTTATAATGTACAGTTAAGAGAAGCCTGGCAATAAAATGTTCTATGCTAAAGAAGCAAATAATACCATCACGATGGGTAAAAACTGGCTTTTCCACGGACCTGGATGGAATGCTTGTGCCAGCCTAGCATTGACTCAGTAGTTATGCGGACAGGCATGAGTCTGAACACTTCTTTCTCTTCTCCAGCTCCAACTCTGGGGAAGGAGCTAAAGAGAAAAGGTCCTGAGGTAAGCAGTAGAGGTGGAAAGAGAGCCTCAGAAGAAAAGCAGGGCACTGCTGCCTTCTGGAGCACATGTCAGAGTGGTCTTCTAAGGACCCTCTCACTTGTATTAGAAAACCGTTACTGCCAATCTCACTCCTAGAGCATCACTCTGCTCCTGAGTCGCTCAGAAGAGCCACTAGAACTCGTTTCAGCTTTTAGAAATGTTCTGATTTCCACAGTATTTTCCTGTAACTAGCCGAGAATCCCGGCCTCCATCTTCTTCCCACCAGAAG